ATTTTTCTTCAGTGAAAATTAATTTCCATAATTCTGAAATGTCTTGCTTTTAATCAAAATTCTAGTCAGTACATCTGCGTAGCACGTCTCAAGACTGTCACTGTTTTTGAAAACAATCTAAATTCAAAGTTCTGATACTTACATCAAACCAACAACGCACCAAGTGAAACAGAAAGCTAACAAAGATAACTGTAGGCTAATGTGAGAGGTTCGAATATGCTTCTTGCCAGTTGTTTTCCTTTCAGTCTTACAGAAATCTAAACCACGAGACTCAAGTATTGTAAATCACTTGTTTATACTGGACCATCACCTTAGTCCATAAGTAAAAGTTGAATTTGTCAGCATTCCTGTGGGCATTTATAGCTCTGTCTTCTAGCCAAAGCCACAGAGAGCTGACAAACTCTGAGCATTAAAAAGCTGTAATGCCACTCTTGCTGTTACAATACCTGCACGTTACAAGCTTAAACACAAATATTTTAGCCTACACGGCATCATTTTCCTCCTCATGGGTATAATAAACTCCCTTCCTGCTACATGGCAGTAAGGGTGCAGTCATGTACAGCTGTATTACAAAGCATATCCACTGGAAAGCATGGAGACTTAGCAGTGACCAGTAGTCACCCAGGAGTTTTTAGGATCAGATTCTACGACACTCAAATGGAAAGAAATGATGGGATGGAATGGCAGCCCCTGTGCAGCCCTGTCTGCTGCAGCTCCCAGCCCTGCTTCATGAGGCAGGCAGAAACAAAAAGATGGTAATCGCTCATCAGAACCTTTTTCCAAGTCCTACCTAAAAGACATTAAATGCACATGGAAATATATTTTATATTCATAAAAATGTAAACGTTATGGAGACATCGCTATAGCTTAGATTTATGCAACACTATATGGCTCGTCTCTCCAACTTGTTAAGAACCTGGAAGCCATGGTTACGTCCTTCTTGATGAAACCACAATCACTAATTGACTCGTAGGTTACTGATTATACCTTTTTAGGTATTTTTAACAGAAACACTGAGAGATTTGAATGAAAACACATGTCTTTGTAAGCACCAGCTGAAGAATGAGCAAAAAAGGACGATCTGTACAGGGCAGTGTCCTCAGAACATCGTTCTCTCTAGCACTGAAACTGCAGAACACGCTCTTTATATTGAGATGAAAAGGCCTGCACTCTGAGAAATGAATCCACAGCAGAAATGACTCATCAGACCCACATCCCAACACCAGGACAGCATCAAAGTTGCAGCATAATACATACACCCTTCCCCTAACCCAAGAAGAGAACAGACCACACACATATATTGAAAGCATACACTGAAATTAGGAAAAACAGACACGACATGGCAACATTGTCTAAGATCTATGGAGGCTAAAGACAGAAATATTTTGAGGCATCAAAAGAAACCCTTAAAAATTGCTGATCCCTAAAAGGCCTGTCAAAAACCAGTTCATTATTTTAGAACCCTACATATGTGAAGAGGACTGGATAGTAGTGTCACTTTTTCTTTGAGTCCACACAACTTGGACATGACTTGGTACTCATGAGCACAAGTGATTTAAATTCATGAGAAAATGAGAGTGGGTAAAAATCAACCAGCGTAATGACTCTGTAAACAAATAAATATCACTTTCCCCATCTGTAAGACCTAGCACTGAATTTTATTACTCTAATTTCTTAACATCTGCAGCCAAGATACAAGCTTTGTATTTGTGAATTGTATTTAGTTCATATAAAGTTCTGACGGACAACCTGACATTTAGATTTTGCAAAATCTGAGATTCAAAAAAAAGAAAGGCAGTATGCTGTGAGACCTTACATGTGCTAAGAGTTTACATAAATGGCAGCATAAATCACTGCACACATCCCCAGAGCAAAGATTTTTCAAATGGGGCATTTCAAAGGTATATTAGTTGTTCACATCAATGTTTAATACCTGGGATTTCAAGTCAGATAAAGCAGACTTAAAAAACCCCAAACAAAACCAACAGCAAAACAAACAAAAAAACCCCACAAAATACCCCACCAAAACCACCTTGAGAGGTTTTTTTTTCGGTTAAGAACAGAAAATGAGGATGTGCTTAGGCTCCTTGTGTGACTATCCCTGAGAAGGTATCAAAATACCATATCAATGTAGAAGGTATCAAGAATTTTCCACAAAATTCTTGTTGCAAGTAGAGATCCATACAGTTTGCAGTCCTGTGGGGCCACACCAAAGCTACAGAAAATGAGGATTATATTTTCTTCCACAAATCTGTCTTGCAATAAATATTTAAGTACTCAAGTTTAGCTATCAGTCTGTTAGAACAAAATCAAACAGGAAAAAACCCACAGAAGTGTATCTTTTTTCTTCTACTAAAATTCTATTTTTGAGGTTTTTTAATAAATAAATTAAAAGAAAACTTATCAGAAATTAATTCTTCCATTTATATTTTGTTTAATACTCTTGGATAATGAACTGGTAATAATACCATTATCTAGTCTGACTGCTATGTGCAGATCATGGATATTTTTATCACTTTGAATAAAGATACCCACCACTAGAATGCACACACCGTTAGAATGATGGGTATAGGAAAAGAAACCCACCACAATGATGCTATATAGCAGCTAAGTCTCATATTTCTTCAACAGTGTATTTATGTAGATTTATTTTACCTATTTCACACCCTCATGGCTTAATTGCAACACTGTACAGATTAACAGAAAACCTAACTACACCTGAGCCAAAAAAAGTCTGAGGAGTGAAAAAAATCCAACACAAGTTAAAATGAAGATTAAAAAAAAAAAACTGAAAAAAGAAAACCCAGAAAGGTCAGAGGCAAGAGGATCTAGGCAAACAAAGAGTTCTGAAATAATTCTCAGGAACTATCTGGAGAAAGTACTTTGTACAAGATAAGATGCATCAAACTAAAGGTCACAGCAAAGACAAAAAGGGCAGCTTTCCCAGAAGCTAAAAGAAGGAAAGTTATGCTTTGGTAGTCTTTCATCGTCTCAGCCTTTCCAGTACTAAAGTATATAACAAGCCAAACACAATGCTCTTTGAAATTACCTTCCAGGGAGGACATAAAAGCCTTGCCTGCCCTTAATACCAACAATATGACTCAGGCCAGTAAAAGTATCGTGGATTCTGACATAAGTCCTCTAGTGAACTGCGATGTAGTACGTGAAGGTATCACCTTTACTTAACTAACTTCTGAGATGCTGGATACAATCTCTGCAGGAGAATCAGAAGAAATATTCCTGTCTAAGTCTCAGCTGTTCCAGCTCATACATCCTGTGTTTCACTGCACATGAACCTTTATGGTAACTTCTTAAATTTCTGCAAATAGATTCACTGAAGAGTGATCTAGCAGGCATACAACAGTTTCCCATCATTCCCTCCTGGCTTATGGAAGAAAAAACAGAATTATGAATTCTTACTATCTTGTCTCTGCAAAAGTTTTCAAGATATGATTACAAATGATTGTTGCATTGGGGAACTCTTAGAAACACTACCAGAACACATGTATCCACATTTGGAAGCTTATTTGCTCAAAAAAACCACCTCAACCCCAAAACAACCACCCAATTCCAGGAAATAAGTTTGTGGCTAATGAGCAGCACAGGGGAAAAAAGAAAAAAAAAAGGCTCCATAAAGTTATATTTCTTTTTATCTTTAGAACTTAAGCCTCAGTCTGCGATCCTAAATTTGTATCTCAAACATATTATCTTCGAAAATTTATTTAAATAGTATGTTTGAGCTCCATCAAACTTCTGTAAAGTTAAAATTGTATGTTTATTCTCAGTGACCAAGATTATTTTCTTCTAGAGAGCTGCTAATTCTGAGCATCATTAAAAGCAATAGAAAAAATTATTTCAGAACAACAATGTAAAATTGTCTTCTGAAGAAATAATGGGTGACTAGGTGAAAGTCTCACTTTCTTTTCCCTGAATGCATTGTTAAACTCAAATTTGTCTCAAGAATTTATCTCATCAACCCATGTGTCTGTCTCAGAAGGTGTCACTATTCATTCACAGATATTAGATGCTTTTGAGAGAATTTTGGCCCTAACGACGGGATTAGGCAACTCTTTTCACAGTCACTGCAATGACAGCTGCATTCATTTCCCCCATATACCCGACTCAAAGTCAGAAGAAAATTCTCAGTTTGCAAGCCAGAACACATTCTGCTGGATATTTACAGCCAACCACTGAAATCCCCCAAATCTGTCAGTGGTGTCAAACAGGACAAAAATAGATCATCTTGCTTGTTTTTCATAAATAATCCTACATTCATAAAAGAAATAGGAACAGAAACCTTGAAGAAGAAGATTCTTTTTCACCACATCTAGTATGAAAGCACTAAACCACTCAACTTTTCTTGGAAGAACCACTTCAGGAAAAGGAGTCATGTTTGTGTCTCTGTCTTCATGTTTTAGCTCTCTACTTACACTGTCAGCAACAAAACCAACTTTTTAATTCCAAAGCCATTTTTTTAAAAACATTAGACACACATAAATACCAGCAGGATCTATAGGGAAGTTCATCATGCCACTTCACATGCCACAAAGTAGAAGAAAGATGTTTGTAAATCCCAGTTCCTATCATCAGGTGAAAGAGCTAAAATTTAACCACCACAAACATGCATTACTTCTACATTACCTTACAATAACCCACTTACCAGATGGTTTACAGAACAAAATTGGGAACAGAATCAAAACGAGGAAACTATTCTTAGCCTGATTGTTTATTACTGAAGATTTTAGTAACTGATAAAAGAGAAATAGCAGAATTGATAGGAAGTTGCTTTCAGAAAGTACCAGAAAAAATGAGCTGCATGACTTCAGAGAAAGCAACAGGCAAAAAGTTCGTTTCAGGAGATCTCAAGCCTCAGTAATCCTTCTATGCTGTATGTTTTCAAGCAATGCTGTTCGCATCCTACAGAATAATTTTTTTGCTCTCCAACTCAGCAACAAAGCAGAGCAGCTTTAATCAAGAATAAATAAAGTAAAAATACTTACGTTGTCCCCATCGGCCTGTTCGTGGATTCAAATAATTTGGATAAAGTCCATTAGGACGATCCATTTTTTGAAGTAACTTCCGAATGTGCATGACCTAAATTAAATCAAGAATCAAGATCACCACTAACAACATTCATCTATTGTCTGCACATAGTTAAATCTAGTAGTTCTTTTTAGTAGTAAATTTTCTTATCTGAACCCAGAAGCTTTCTTGGGAGCTTCCTGCAGATTATGACATTTTTGGTTTTATAGGACTGCTCACATAAACGTGTTTAAAATTATGATTTTTAAATGTGTACTAAAACAAATAAGAAAATCTGTGCTGTCAAAATTTTCTACTTGGAAAAGTCACCTATTTGGTAACAGAAATACAAGTACAAAAAAAATTTACCTCCTACCAACAATGCAGATAGAATTCAATATAGCAATTACCTCTACTTCAATGCAATTTATGATTAAGCAGTAAAAAAGACACTCGTATGATAAAAAACTGAATTTGAAACCCACCTTGTTGTAGTACACAGGGTCTCCTGTCAAATAGCTGAGGTGGACAAATTCCATGTGCAGAGTACCAAACTCAGCGAGGATGCTGCTGCCAGCAGAAGCCCAGCCCCAGTTTCGACCCACACCACTGAATTCAACAAATACACATAGAAAAAGGGAGAAAATAACAAAATTCAGAATTCCTGTGCACAGCACTAGTAATAACCACCACTGCAAATCAAACAAGTAACAGCAAAATATTAACTCTCATTTGAGATTACTGGAGTTGTCAATTGACTCATCAGTTGGTTCATCGGTTGCGTCTTTTTGTATAAAAGCTACCATGACCTCATCAGCAAAAAGTCCTGTGATTGTAAGATAAAATACTTTGATGTCAGAGAAATATAATGACTTAATACTGAGCCCAATCACGACTGCTGTTCATTCATTGCATGTTGCTAAGAACAAGAATTAAAAGTAATTATCAAACAACATGAAGGTGGCAGCGTCTGCTTCCTTGTTCTGCCAAACACCAACTGTGGCCCCTTAACCTGTGTGGGATGTGCTTCAGGTCAGTGTTAGACACTCCAGAGGGTGGGAGTGGGCCCCTTCTGTATCTACATAAGAAAACAGTACGTTTACTGTAGGTAGAATATTACGAGTTCTTCAGGCTCACATAAGGAATCACCAGGAAGTATCATACACCTCATATGTCTGGCACTTTAAGAGATACCACTACACATAAATTACCTTTAGTTTCATCTAATTTTTGAGTTTTCACCACCTTTGAGGATCGTGTCTTTTAATTTCTGAAGTTAACTATATTTTCCTGGAGATTACTTCTACTCTTCTCATAAAAGATTTCAGTTATCAGTATGACTACAATCAATCAGGAATGTCTTCTTACTTATTTTTTAAACTACAAATTAGAAAGAGGAAATGTAAAGGAAAAATGTTGGTTACGGAGCAGTATTTGTAGTTCTGATCCAAGACAGAACAACATCTTTTAAAGTACAGTAACCACTGTTTACAGAGACAAAACCATAGCTTGTCTCAGGGCTTCTTTAGTACACCTCTCATAGAAAGAGAAAATTAAGTGTTTCATTATGAATGCAAAAGATAATAAAATACAAGTCAATAGTTTTCCAAATATTTCTTTCAGGTCTTGTCTCTTACTGCATGCCAGTCACTATTTTCTTCTGTGATGCTGGCTGGTTCTGCACATTACCAACAGACTGACACAGTAAATGCATAAACAATACCAGCACACAGGAAATTTCTGGCACCCAAGTCCTTTCTGCCTACTGCAAATTCTCCTCCCCAGTCCTGCCTTTCTGATTGTGCTCTGACCCCTTTCCCATGCAATCTGCCTCCGTGTTTTACAGATAAGTATCCATACATTACTGCTTGCAGTTTCTTACATCTATGATTTTATGAAACCTCACCGTCTATGTGAGCCTGTGTTGCCTGAGGAGTATGGCCAGCTGGGCCCTCCAAACATAGAATCATAAAATTGTCAGGGTTGGAAGGGACCTTAAAGATCATCTAGTTGCAAACACTCTGCCACAGGCAGGGACACCTCCCTCTAGCCCAGGTTGCTCCAAGCCCCATTCAGCCTGGCCTTGGACACTGCCAGGGATGGGGCATCCACCCCCTCTCTGGGCAACCTGTTACAGTGCCTCACCACTCTCATGGTGAAGAATTTCTGCCTATCATCCAATCTGAACCGATCCATCTCTAGCTTTAATCCATTCCCTCTAGTCCTATCACAACCCAACATACCGAACCACTGTGCAGCCTTGGGCTAAGCAAAGCAGAAATTAAAAAAAACAGCTTAAGCACAGAGAAATTTCAAGCCCTATGATTCTGCAGAAAGAGCACAAGACTGACTAAACCATAATGCCAGGCAGAAAGTGCATAGGGAAATTTAACCCAACAATATTAATTTTGCAGAGGTCTAATAAATGGACTCAGAAAGGAAAGCACAGCACAGGCAAAGCAGAGAAAACCAGGGAAGGATTTTTTTTTTTTTGGAAGGGCAAACCACGGCTCCATAGTCTTCACCCAAGGAGTGACAGCAAAGTTTCCTGATCACAAAAAGGCAAGTAAGGCTAATGCTCTCAAAGCAGTCCTAAGCCTCTTCACAGTCTAACAAAGCACAACAAATATCTCTTAAAAGGAAATAAATTTAAAACGATTTAAAAACTCTGCTATTTCCTATCCCAAATTGCTTAAGCCTATCCATAATCTAGACATACCTCCCAATTCAGCCACTGTTTAAGAACAGAACAAAAATTTGAAAAATGCCTGGCGTCAAAACCACTCTCAAAGTCCAAGGGAAATCCCACCACTGAAAAAGCAACACAAGATAAACTAGGTAACGCAAGTCTCTTCCACAGGGCAATGCCATCCAAGTTCAGTGTCTGACCTGAACAGCCACCTAAAGGAGCCTCTCCATCTCCTCTCCACGGACCACAGCAGATTCAGCATGTTAGCCTTTATATGTAAGCTGAACTGTAAAATGAATTAATACTTTCAGAGTCCCATCAACTTCTCAAATGTTGTGAGTCTTCTAAAGGTAATGTACAGCTCATACAGTATGTAAAACCCAGTAAGTTCAACCACAACCTGCCAACAATTTTGGCTTTTAATATGTTTAAAGAATCTAAACGACTTCAGACCCAATGGTCAAGCTCTAGGGCAACACACGGCATAATACATTGGGTATGTTCCAACAGCATGTTGAATTCTTATTGCAGAATCACGAGAAGAAAAATCATGGTCACATTTTATTGCAGTTAATGAGGCAGAATGCTCTGAACTCTATTAAAGTTATACTAAAGTGACAGCAACATCAATTTGTCCACATCTTCTACAGTTCCACTAGTAAGAAAAACTGACATATGCCATTACTAATTTTAAATTGGACATAGGGGGAGGGACATGCTTTCCCACAAAAGAAAATTTATTACCTTTTCAGATTCACCATTGCCCATGGTATACCCGTAGGTGTGTTGAAGGCTGGGAGAAGTTTTCCTGCCAGTTGCACAGCTTTGATCTTGAAAACCTAAGATAGTAGGATCAATTGCAAACAGTTAGAAAGTCTGATTTCTCTCCAAGAATTATAAAGACTGAAATTTCTTTGCCTCACTCATCACTTTGTATTAGAAAATCTTTACATTGTAAAAAATACACTACCTTATAATTAGTTTTTTACTTATTTGCTTTATCAGTTTCATTAAGATTTGAACATTAAAACTTGTAATTTTCATTTCTTTCCTTACATGCTCTCCAGCAATAGAGCTTAGGTTCTTATTAAAGAAGAATACAATTCTCCTCCCATCCCCCTTCATCAATATTAGGAATTCCAAGTGCTTTCTAAAGCAGTCTGTAAACCATACTCTATATTTTGTAGCTAAAAATCAAGAGAAAACTCCTCCACCCCTCACACAAGTATTTTAACTTTTACAAACTTCCAAGATATTTTTTAACAACAACATATATAGTGCAGTCAGTTATTACTCTTTTATAAACACTGTTCATGCAAAATTATATAGAGAGAGTTTCCTGGAGCTTTTCCTTCAGTGGTAAGGCCTAAGAAAAATAATTATTGGTTTAATCTTTCTTCTTAAGTCTGCTTACTCATAGAAATTACAGACAGGATGAATTCTCTCTCATTTTTAGTGTTATTCCTAAATCTGTAACGGCTCTGTTCAGAGCCTAATGTTTATTTGTTAAATGAACAATTAGGAGAAAATTCCTTCTAAGCCTACGGGAAGCACTTTTTTCAAGAAGGTGTATTTGGTAGATCCCGATGCCATAACACTGGTTTTACCAGCTAGTTGCTAGAATACATTTTAATTAACTCACTGTCAGTATCCACCCTATTTCTGCAAAAGTATCGTCTTAATTTGGAGATAGCACTATTCATCAGTTTGAAGCACTGCACAAACATGTAATGAAAAGAGCTACCATACCCCAAATAACTTATGCAACATGGACATGCTATAGAAACATTATTATCAACTACGTGACCAATACTCTGTAATCAAGAAGAGTAAGAGCTTTAAGAAGGACTACATGACAGCTCTGTCAGATTAATAAAAAGAATTTCTCTTTTGTAAAGTCAATGGGAGGAAAACAGAATAGATGCTTATGGGAGAGGCCAGCTGAAAAGTTGTGGAAAAATAAGCAATCAAAAACATCCTCATTTTTCACATGAAGGTGGGAAAAGATCAATATCTTAATATTTGAGGAGACAACTAGTGAGACATGAAATAAACCAGAAAAGAATATTAAAGATGACATCTAATTGTATTTGGTGCAGTGGAGTATGGCGAGATGTAGGTGCATCTGAAAGGAATGAGCCAGGAAAAAGAACTTTTACAGAGGCACTCTAAATGAATTCTAAGATGGGATATGTCTAAACCGTAAAAGATGATACCTCAGAATACAACTTGATAGAACTGTGAAGTAAGAGAGGCAATATGGCTTGAATGATTTTTAGCAAAGATACTGACAAGAAACGATCGTTGAGAAAATATGCAGATTTAGTAGTAAAATTCAGGAAGCACTCTGACCTTGAATAAAGGATCAAGTCAAAATAGGACGGCATAAGTAAGAGGTATAATACAGGTGGAGTCTTTGTTAACTGAGGGAAAAGAAATCCCAAAGAGAACTAAAAGTTCTGTGTTGGCCGAGTTACATATAAACTACCTGATTTCCATCTATAAATACATGTCAAAAATTCATGCTGAACTTTTAGATTTTTAAGCAGTAGATGAGATGGGTCAAGACCAGACAGAACTATCTATAGGGAATCATCTAAAGGGAGTTCTGCTACGTTGCAGACAAGCTTTGATACCTAATCCAGAACAGAACGGTGAATTCCAGTTAAATAGTACATAGTTTGGAAAGGTATTTGTGGCATGAATTTGTTTGATTCACCTTTTGGATCCTGCATCCTCTGAAAGTGCTATGCATTGCTATTCATTAATAAAAGACACTGAATCATTACGGTAGGAATATTCAGTGGGAGAATATCCCTAGAAACATCCTCGCTAGAAGAACATTCTTAATGGCTGTTTACATACCGCTATCCAGCTTTTAATCCATTTGAAATGTACTACAATATTTGGGGAACAAGCTATAGCACTGGAAGCAGGTTTTAATAAGAGCTCTAACTGTGCATGAATCTAGTCACGGACAGTCAGGGCAAGGCAATCCCTGTGCCAGACATTTCAGCACGAGAGCAAACCAGAGCGCCAGCAGTTACTGCTAGTTCAGTCAACCCCGACAGTATCTGTGAAAACCTGCTGTGGTTAAAGCACCCTCTTGTCACCTCTGTTGGGCTGAGGAGTCTAGATACCACTGACTTAGCATCAGAAGGAAAAACTCTGCCTCTTCACATCCCTCTCATCCAAGACTGGATGCAAGGAAACAAACTACTGGTTGAAGACACGCCTTTACTTTCTGTCACTCCTATCTCAGCCCTCTTTCACTGCTGCTTCTGGATAACAAATCCAACTAGTGTTTAGCAATGCAGACTGGAGTTGATAATGGGAAGACAGCTGCATAGATTTTTATCTGAGCAAGTGACCATAAGATAGGGAAAAGAAAGAAATGTAGCTAGCAGTGGTGGATGAGATGCCCTTTATGAGAGGCCGTAGATGTGATCACAGTGCTCTGCTGAGCTCACGGAAGTCACTTCTTTTAGCGAGTTTCAGACTTACTGTAAGAGCAACAGTAAATGCATCAGGCTCTAGCTTTTAGATAGTGTGCTGGCATCAGACAACATGGTTACTTACCATATAGTAAGCATTTTTCCTTTTTTTTGAAAAAAAGAAAAACACGTTGGACTGATAGAGTCTATTTCAGCCTTGGCAGTTTCTTGTTGACAGACAATGCATTTCAAGAAACATATAGGCAGAAATAACAGTGAAGAACAGAAAATGAATGGATGTCTTAAAATAGAGCTCATTAGGAAACAGTAAAAGAACTGGAGTTATTTAGTCCATAGAAAAGATGTTAAAGAGAGGACAAGATAACGACTTTTCAGTATATAAAGGGCTAGTACAAGGAAAAGGGTATGTTCCTGAAAGACTGCACCTCACGGAAGAGACTCGTGCTGGAGCAGTTCGTTAAGAACAGCAGCCCATGGGAAGGACTCATGACGGAGAAGCTCATGAAGGACTGTCTCACATGGAAGGGACCTCATGCTGGAGCAGGGGAAGAGTGTGAGGAGTCCTCCCTTGTGGAAGAAGGAGAGTCAGAGACAACGTGTGATGAACTGAGCACAATCTCCATTCCTTGTCCCCCTGTGCCTCTCAGGAGGAGAAGGTAGAGAAATGAGGAGTGAAGCTGAGCCCAGGAAGAAGGGAGGGAATAGGGGGAAGGTGTTTTAAGATTTAGTTTTATTTTCCCATTACCCTACTCTGATTTAATTGGTAATAAACTAAACTAATTTCTCTAAGTCAAGCCCATTTTGCCCGTGATGATAAATAGTGAGAGATCACCCATGAGACTTGTATTATCACAGAATCACAGAATGTCAGGGG